GGGGTGTGTGTCTGCGGGTGCCGGGCCCTGCCGGCACTGCCGGGGTGCGTGGCCCAGCGGGGGTGGGGGGCCCTGGGGGCACTGGGCAGTGGGCGCCCTGGGGGAATGGTGGACACCGGACGCACCACCCAGCCAGGCASGTCACGAGTCACGACTCACAAGGCGGGATGTGTTGGCGAGGTCAAACGGCGGGATCATGCGGGGGAGGGACCGGGGTGTCGGGTGCGGTGCGTGGGTGACGGGGCCGGGTGCGTGGCACTGCCTGCCACCTTGTGGGCGAGGCGCCGAGGTCAGTCAGCCTGACTCAGGTGACGGGGCGTGATTGTGGGTGCCGGGGGGGGGGGCGGCCCGCGCGCGTGGKGGGGGGCCCTGGGGGCCCTGGGGGCCTTGGGGGCACGAGGCCGTGGGCGCCCTGCGGGAATGGTGGATGGACCCGCCAGCTGCAGGCAGGTCTGGCTAGTAGCTACCAGTAGCCCGTGTCCTAGCTGGGCAGGTGTGGCCAGGCGATGGGAGGGTGGCCCTCGGCACTGTGCTCAGTGGGCTGGGCTGGGGGCAATTATGGTGACATTGTGTAAACAAAAAAAAGGGGTAGTGAGTCTAGTGACGTTGTGTGTGGGCTGGGTGGGGTACCATGTGGGCGTGGGTGCGGTACTATGTGTACGGTGGCCCGGTGGGTGGGGTGCTATGTTGGCAACTTGGCAGGGTGTGGCATTTATGCGGGCACGCCGGCACGGGCTCGGGGGTGGTACCGCGGGACTATGTGGGCTGGGTGGTGTGCTATGTGGGCTGAAGGTTTGTCAATGATACTCAAAAAAAAAAAATTGCACCATTTGGTCCATTTCCAATTCTGCATAAAAAAAAAAAAAAAAAAAAAAAAAAAAGCATTGCACCATCTGAATAGATATACAACCTCAGACAATACTCTCAAGACTCCCAAGAGTTCGAACAAGAGGCAACAACCAATCACAATAAGATACCTGCGACTCTGCGAGGCTACGAGGCTACGAGGATGCGAGGATGCTAGTCTGCGAGGGTAACAAAATAAAAGTACAACAAGCTGAAATGAAGCAATTTTCTAAATGGCCTCTGCCTGTCCG